TTGGGACGAAGTTAGCGTCTCCCAATATGGATAATACACGAATATGGATTTGCACGTGGATGGCGTGACCATAGAACGATAGAACCGGGGAGAGCGGAGGAACGGGGCTTTCTTTTGGATGGCTGTCTCGCTGTGTAAGCAGTAACCGATGACGAAGACACACAAAGCTTCAGGTTAGCTCCTCGGCTTGTTGTGCTAACTCAGCCGTCTATGCTAACGGACCTGTAGATTTCTCACGAAAGTGGGGGCTAGTGGTCCGCTGCGATTGGTCACAATCTGCGACCCGAAACACATTCTCTTCCTTGTTTCATCAAAACTCGATCTAAAATATAATGTCACACCAGCACAAATCTGCGCTACTTTTTCTTCAAAATGATGTATATCCCAATGCACTACATGGACATGGATAGCATTTTCGTAATGAATACAAAAATAAAGTCAGTTAGTGCAGCTTTAATAAATGTTTTATTATATGACTCTCGTCTGTGTCTTTACCAATGCTTTTGAGATGCTTCCTCTCCTCTGGCTCTGCCATGTTGCTTTACAAACAAACGCATGCAGCGGTACTGCAGCTTTCCGCTGCTTTCCCGAGGCCGGGGCCGCCGGTAACAAAGTATTTAGGTAGTAACTGTAATATAATTAAACGTATTTTCATAGTAACGCGTTCCACTACTACGTTACTCAAATTGTAATTTCGTTACTTAGTAACACGTTACACCCAACACTGGTGAGGACCACCCAGTCCTCTAGTCTCTGTGAGGACCACCCAGTCTCAGTCTGTGGTGGGGTCTAAAGCTGGACTGAAACATGTCAAATGAGTTGTTGATTATAAGAAATCTAGTAAGCTGTAGGTAGACAACTTTTTCAAGGACTTTCCCCATAAATGGCAGATTTGAGATGGGACGATAGTTGTTAAGTACCGTGGTATCCAGACTGCTCTTTTTAGCAGGGGCCTGATGACTGCAGTTTTCAGGGCCTTTGGGAATATTCCAGAATTAAGGGACATGTCTACTATCTAACTGTGTGAGTGAAGGTAACAGACTGCTCAGAACTGTTGCACCGAAAAGCAATTTCCAAGTCTGTGACCTCCTGTTACGTGGCAATAAAAATGATTCTGATTCTGAGAACAGACTTCAGAAATCTAGTGGGTAGTACATCCAGGCTGCATGTGGAGGAGCTCAGACTGGAGATTATCTCTTGGACATTTGTATCATTTACAGGTGCAAAGTGAGTTAGCTCAAAGAGCCTTTCTGGCTGTTGGATCGTTATCTGTGGATTGGAGACAATAGCGTTTATGTTGCAGCCTTTTTCCAAAATGGATTCAATAAAAAATGTTCCTCACAATTCTACACACAACAACCCATAATGACAACATGAAACTTTTTTTTTTAGATTCTTGCAAATGTATTAGAAATAAAAAACTAAGAAAGCACATGTACATAAGTATTCACAGCCTTAATACTTTGTTGATGCACCTTTGGAGCAATTACAGCCTCAAGTCTTTTTGACTATGATGCCACAAGCTTGGCACACCTGTCTTTGGGCAATTTTTGCCCATTCCTCTTTGCATCACCTCTCAAGCTCCATCAAGTTGGACGGGGAGTGTCGGTGCACAGCCATTTTCAGATCTCTCCAGAGATGTTCAATTGGATTCAAGTCTCGGCTCTGGGCCACTCAAGGACATTCACAGAGTTGTCCTGAAGCCACTTCTTTGTTCTCTTGGCTGTGTGCTTAGGGTTGTTGTCCTGCTGAAAGATGAACCGTCGTCCCAGTCTGAGGTCAAGATCATCCAGGATGTCTCCGTATATTGCTGCATTCATCTTTCCCTCTATCTTGACTAGTCTCCCAGTTCCTGCCGCTGAAAAACATCCCCACAGCATGATGCTACCACCACCATACTTCACTGTAGGGATGGTATTGGCTTGGTGATGAGCAGTGCCTGGTTTCCTCCAAACATGACGCCTGGCATTCCCGCCAAAGAGTTCAATCTTTGTCTCATCAGACCAGAGAATGTTTTACTCATGGTCTGAGAGTCCTTCAGGTGCCTTTTGGCATACTCCAAACCAAGGAGCAGCTTCCGTCTGGCCGCTCTACCACACAGGCCTGATTTGTGGACTGCAGAGATGGTTGTCCTTCTGGAAGGTTGTCCTTCTGGAAGGTTCTCCTCTCTCCACAGAGGAACGCTGGAGCTCTGACAAAGTGACCACCGGGTTCTTAGTTACCTCTCTGACTAAGGCCCTTCTCCCCCAATCGCTCAGTTTAGATGGCCAGCTCTGGAACCACCAGGACTCTTCCTAAACTTCTTCCATTTACGGATGATGGAGGCCACTGTGCTCATTGGGACCTTCAAAGCAGCAGAAATGTTTGTTCCTTCCCCAGACGTGTGCCTCGAGACGATCCTGTTTCGGAGGTCTACAAACAATTCCTTTGACTTGATGCTTGGTTTGTGCTCTGACATGCAGTGTCATCTGTGGGACCTTATATATACAGGTGTGTGCTTTTCCTTATCAAGTCCAATCAACTGAATTTACCACAGACGCCAATGAAGTAGTAGAAGCATCTCAAGGATGATCCGTGGAAACAGGATTCACCTGAGCTCAGTCTGCGCTTCAGGCAAAGGCTGTGAATACTTATGTACATGAGGGTTCTTAGATTTTTTATTTTAAAGACATTTGCAAGAATCTCAAAAAAACTTTTTTCATGTTGTCATTATGGGGTGTTGTGTGTAGAATTGTGAGGAAACAAATTAATTGAATCCATCTTGGAATAAGGCTGTATCATAACAAAATGTGGAAAAATTGAAGTGTGTGAATACTCTCCTGATGCATTGTACATTTGGAAGTGAGCTCTAATGGTAAAGTGAAACAGTAATGCAATACTTTATTCTTTGTTTGCAGATCTACAAAGTCCATCTACAGAATGGGGTTCACCTGTGATCAGTGTGGAAAGACCTGCAGCTTTGCTTCCAAACTAAAGAACCACTACAGAACTCACACTGGAGAAAAACCATACATGTGTGATCTGTGTGGAACAGGTTTTACTCAAGCAGCACATCTTAAGCTCCACAGCAGAATCCACACTGGAGAAAAACCCTTCAGCTGCGACTTCTGTGATCAGAGTTTTAGACATGAGAATTCTCTGAAAGATCATCTGAGTATCCACACAGGAGAGAAACCATTTGAGTGTGACAAGTGTGGACAAACTTTTAAGAGGAAATACCAGCTCTCACTACATAAGCATGTCCACACAGGAGAGAAACCTCACCAATGTGACCAGTGTGAAAAGACTTTTACACAATTATCTGACCTCACTGTGCACTACAGAATCCACACTGGAGAAAAACCATTCGTCTGTGGAGACTGTGGGAAGGAGTTTGCTCACTCTTCAAACTACAAAAGACATAAGAGAATTCACACTGGAGAAAAACCATTTCCATGTGACCTCTGCAGTAAAACTTTTAGAACTGCAGCACATCGCACACTTCACCATCGGAGCCACACTGGAGAGAAGCCGTATGAGTGTGATCAGTGTGGAACATTTTTTACCACAAAAGGATATCTTAATAAACATAAAAGTATCCACACTGGAGAAAAACCCTTCAGCTGTGAATTCTGTGATAAGAGTTTTTCTTACAGTGGTCATCTCAAAGATCATACAAGAATCCACACTGGAGAGAAACCTTTTGTTTGTGAAAAGTGTGGGAAGTCTTTTACTCATAGATCATCTCTTCGTGGACACATTAAAATGTGTGAGAAGCAGGTGTGAAGACGCAGCATCTGGAACAAAGTGAAGGAGACAGAGCTGAGGCTGCATCATGTGAACCCAGAGTCAGACTCTACAGGATCACACTTCAGTCTTAACCAGAAGTGTGGACTCAACTCATGTGACTTGGACTCGTGTCAGACTCGAATCATGAATTTGATTACTTTAGACTCGACTTAGACTTTAACATCAATGACTCTGACTTTCACTTGGACTTGTGCCTATTGACTCGTAAAGACTTGTGTAACCCGGGTCATTTTTACGTTTCTCTGCATCTCTATTTTCATCTATGTCGTCTCTGAAGAAAAAATCTCTTGTGATAGTTGTAGTGCTTGAGCCAGAGTTGGAACGTGAGCCGCACCTTTCGTCTGGTCCTAGCCCAATACTGAGATTAAATAATTATAATATAAGCTATTCATATATGCTACTTCCCATAAAAACCTAAAGACCCACGGACTGCTCTGTGTTTATGTGTGTGGCCTGTGCATGTGTGACCGAGAGCCTGCATCCGCCACAACATCCAATCACGTAGATTGTTTTGATTTGACAGTGGCCAACCACATGGAACAAGCTGTTAATCCATGGGCCAGAGACCAACGAGAATGCACCAGCAAAATTATTCCTAAGATTATTTTGTTTGCCTACAATCTTTACGTGGAGACCAACAAGAAACAAATCACAGTCAAAAAGACTTGATAGGACTCAAAAGTCAAACCGTAGGACTTGAGACTTGTTGGCCTTTGACTTGGACTCGACTCGGGACTTGCCTGTCTTGACTCAGGACTTGGGACTTGAGGGCAATGAATTGAGACTAACCTGTGACTTTGTCTCAATGTTCTGTCAAGAATGTATACAATTTAAATCAGAAGGTGATAGAGGGTTAGAAGGCTTTTTTGTAGGCTCTGCTCATTTTATTTTATATTCTCATGTAACCAAATTATTATGAAATGTGTGTTTTTGCACATATAGAAATGTTTTTTCTTGAATGTATTACGAGACTGTACGATTATGTAACTCTGAGAGCGACATACTGGAAAGTTCTTTCTCTGAGGAAGCAGGGGCGTAAAAGAGGTGACACAGGGAATAGTGACAGATGATGAGGGCCATATTTGGTCAGGTGCATTTTACTGGAGGAGATCTCTTCACGGAGCAGGATTGGAAACAACCCTTCCATCGCCTGGCGTTTGAACAGCCAACAACTTCAGGGGAACAATTCAGAAGAGAGGGGTTGTGAGAAAATGTCCCTGCCTCAGCAGGCGAGGCGGCGTCTGCACTGGGTTGTCCCACTCAGGGAACCAGGTCTCAAGAGGCCTCGGGACTCGTGCCTCCAGGCAGTGGGGGCAGGGACTGCTGCTTCGCAGCCCCTTTCAGAGTCTGCTTCAAAGCCCTCACAGAGACTGCTTCGCAACCCCTCACAGGGCCTAAGCCGGGTAGCGGCTGCGGGGGAAAAGAGTAAGTGGGCTGGGAGGCACCAGAACACAAAGTAATACTCTATTGTCATTTTTCTGGAAAAAAACTTGATAATTGTGACATAAAAGTCCTATATCACGCTTTTCTTCATGTTTCACAGTCAATCCTATGCTCATGTGTGATAATAATGTGGGTCTCAAGATGGCGGCGATGTGACAGCAAGTGGTTTTGTCTACTCCCTGTATGTATTCTGGAAATGTAAACTTCCCCGCTCGAATTCGCATCCATTCAGCTAAAAGTCACCACGGTATTGTCTGCAGCTAAACGCGCGGGCGACCTGCAGTACACGGATCGCCCTCTCCGCATAGTGCCTGAACATCCCACCCACGGTGCGACTCATCAGGAGAGGCTTCAACGACGTCTGCACGGAGCTCATCAAGAGAAAAGTTAGATTCAAAATGGCTTTCCCAGCAGTTTTGTTGTTTGAAATCAACGGGATGAAGAAATCTTTCACAGAGCCCAAACGAGCCAGGGCGTTCCTCGGGAGCACAGTGACCAACGAGAACAAATAGAGGTGTCATTCAATGATCAAAATGTGGTGAATGTTCTAACTCTTGAGGCATTATATGTAGGAATTCTACATTCAACTTACGATGGACAGTGATGTTATTTCTGATTTTTTTTAGAAGCACCCATTTCCTTATTGTTTATTTAAGGACACATGTTTTATGTCTACGCTAATGTAAGACAGACAGGGAGGGACACTTTTGTAGTTTTGAGAACCTTTTTAGGCCCGAGCCCACTGGGGTAAGGGCCTATTGCTTTTCCAACGAGTAATGCCTGGGCAGTTGAATCGTTGCAACTGTCATAAGTCACAATCTCCGGGCGCAGCTAAATCCGGCTTTAAACTTCTCCACAACAGTATCTCGGACCTGCCTGGTGTGTTCCTTTGTCTTCATGGTTCTCTCTGTGCTTTAAACAGAACCCTGAGACTATCAAAGAGCAGGTGCATTTATACGGAGACTTGATTACACACAGGTGCATTCTATTTATCATCATCAGTCATTTAGGACAACATTGGATCATTCAAAGATCCTCACTGAACTTCTGGAGTGAGTTTGCTGCACTGAAAGTAAAGGGGCCGAATAATATTGCACGCCCCACTTTTCAGTTTTTTATTTGTTAAAAAAGTTTCAATTTTCCAATAAATTTTGTTCCACTTGTTGATTCATGACAAAAATTTAAAATTTTATATCTTCATGTTTGAAGCCTGAAATGTGGCGAAATGTTGAAATACTTTCGCAAGACACTATTAAAACGGGAGCAAATTTAATATTGTCCAAAACGGCCAAAAAAGGTCACATTTTGCAGCTCCCCTGGTCTAGTTCGAACAACGTTTCACTGATGAAAAATCCCTGAGGTCATTTTGAAGGTACATGTGTTGAGATGATGTGGAGAGATTTTGAGGCGAATCGGTGAAACTGCCGAGGAGGAGTCTCTTTCCAACCGACGTATGAAAACTTTTGCTGTTCATTTTTCCATTTTGCAGTGAAATTTATGGGCTTCCTGTTTGTCAGAGGGCGGGGCCATAATAACATTTGTTTCATGTCTTGTTTTGAGGAACATGTGTACCGAGTTTCATGGCTCTACGACAAACTTGACCTCAGAAAAATCCCATGGGGGTACTACTAGGCCCAAGCCCCGAACGGGGAAACGGCCTATTGTTTTTGCTCGAGAGATGTCAAATTCTGCACTTTGAGCCCTAATTTGACCCCCTGAACATGCATGAAAAGTTGTAAAATTTTGCCCAAACATCAGACCTAGTGAAAATTTGATATTTTGGTGTTTATTTTTATGGGACTCAAAAAATGCCAGAACAGCGCCACCTACAACAGCCAATGGGAGTTTCAAAGGTCAAGTTTGTCGTAGAGCCATGAAATTCGGTACACATGTTCCTCAAGTCAAGATACGACAGAAATGTTATTATGGCTCCGCCCTCTGACAAACAGGAGGCCCATAAATTTCACTTCAAAATGGAAAAATGAAACGGGATCCTTTTCACACATGTCGGTTGGAAATCTTCTCCTCCTCGGCCGTTTCACCGATTGGCCTCAAAATTGATCCACATCATCTCAACACATGTACCCAAAATGACCAAAGAGAAATTTAGTCAGTGAAATCTTGTTTGAGCAGCGAAGCGGCAAAATGTGTTTTTTAGCCGTTTTTGACAATATTAAATTTGCTCAATATAAATTTGCTCCCGTTTGCACAAACAAAGTCTGATTTGCACAAAACTTTAATACATTTTTTCAACTCTAGGGTCTAGGGCAATAAAAGTTGAAATAAATGAACTTAGCTCATTAGCGCCCCTACAGACTGAGGCAAAGTTATACATGGGGAGGCAAACCAGCTCTACTTATCATATTCATTACAATTTGACTGACATTCTATGGCTACGGGAACAAATCATCACACGGCGGCGCCACCTCTTTGCGCGTAGCTGTGTGGTACGGTGTGATGCGGCTTTGTGTGGTGCGGAGAGTGCGCGGTGCTGCGAGGGCTGTTTGACGCCGCTTGCGGCTTTAATTTATTTATTTATTTTTTCTTCTGCGCTTTGAACCTTAATTTGACCCCCCTGATTGCAGGTCACAATCTGCGCCCGGAGATTGTGAGCTGCACGCGACGGCACGTGCCCAAGTACTGATAAATTCGTGCCGGAGGCATGGAATGGCTTTGCTCCTGCTGTAGTACACAGTGAAATGATCAAAGCCCTATTAAAGGGGGGGTTCCTTCAACTGTCTTACGTTCGCCCGGACATTCGTCCCCCAAGCCCGACGGCGAGTGCCCAGACACCGATAAAACAGTGTCGGAGGCACTGAATGGCTTTGCTCCTGCTGTAGTACACAGTGAAATGAATGGGGTCTTATGGAGGGGGGGCTGACCTCATGATGTCGAGGTAATCACCGAGTACCCAATAGTTGCGTTCGCCTTGTCGTTCGCTTTAAAATGATGTATCATTTGTATTATAGGTTACTATGGAAACCTATATTGTTTTTGCTCAAAGATTAAAAAAAAAAAATCCAGCCTCAACTGGGGTAAGGGCCTATTGCTTTTCCAATAAGTCACAATCTCCGGGCGCAGTGTATTATTTTAGTGTTCTTTGGTATAAGACTAATAATTTGAATTTGTAGGGGGCGCTATTGTACAACATTTAAATTGATTGTTCAACTCTTGGGTTTGGGTAAACCATAGACTGTATATATTAACGGACAGAGTCACACCTATCTCCGCCGTTCTAACTAATGGACCAAAAAATGTGCTCTACTGGAGAAATCCAAAATGGCCGTGAGTGGTCCCGCCCACAAGAAAATTGTGAAAAAACGCATCTGCGCATGCGTCAGCCGGCGCAACTCCATTCATTTGAACGAGAGACTTCAAAAATTCACAGCAAGTAAACTAGAGTGGACCAAAAAATCCACCCCCCTCAGCATTGACACACATGTGGAACGGAGCTTCGGGCCAAGAGCCAACGTTTGGTCCATCCTGTAAAGACGTTTTCCAGAGGTCTGCCAATGCTATATGTTAGCATTGGCTAATTCTACTTCTGGGTCCACCCCCATCGGCCCGGGGTGGTATTGCAAGCATGTCAGCGAACGTCATTTTGGCCACTTTTGAGCTGGGACCCTCCCCCACTGGGGTAAACTGAAGGTGTGAATCATGAAATTGCAACAATAGCGACCCCTACAGACTGAGTCAAGTATTACATGGGGAGAATGAGGTTTAACTTTTCAAAGACAAACACAATCACTGATCTTAGGCATTCCAAATGCACAGTGTCGCTCCCATCAGGGCGGTAGGAAAATGGCGCGCCACCGCGGTTGCGTTGTTTTTGTTGCGTTGTTTTTTTCTTTATTTTTTCTGCGCTTTGAACCTTAATTTGACCCCCTGAACATTGATGAAAAGTTGTGACATTTTTTTGGTGTTTATTTTTATGGGACTAAAAAAATGCCAGAACAGCGCCCCCTACAAAAGTCAGTTTACATTGCGCCTATGGGAGGAGGTCGGAGGTCAAGTTTGTCGTAGAGCCACAAAACTCGGTACACATGTTCCTCAAGTCAAGACATGAAAAAAAAGTTATTATGGCTCCGCCCCCTGACAAACAGGGAGCTCATTAATTTCAATGGGAAATGGAAAAATGAAAATTGATCTTTTTCACACATGTCGGCTGGAAATTATCTCCTCCTCGGCCGCTTCACCGATTTGTCTCAAAATCGCTCCACATGGTCTAAACACATGTACCATCTATTATTGAATATAGAATTTGGATCAGTTAAACGTTGTCCGAGCAGCGGAGCGGCAAAATGCGACATGTTTTTTCCAATTTTTGACAAAAGTAAATTTGCTCCCATTTGCACAAAAATAGTCAGATTTGCACAAAATTTTTATCCAATGTTCAGCTCCAGGGTCTAGGTCATTTGAAAGTTGAAATATTGAAATTGACTCATTAGCGCCCCCTACAGACTATGTCAAAGTTTTACATGGGCCTAATAAAATTTAGTTTTTTCAAAATGTTTGAAATTTTGCACATAATTCTGTTTCGTCATCTGGATTCAAAAAGTCAATGACAACATATGATTATTTTTTACCCTGTTGCCGTGGCGACGACCAACACTCCCCTGTCTGTGTCTATGGCGAAATTGTAAAATCTCTGAAAAGTACACCTCGCTCAAACATCAAACCAGCCGCGGCCGTTTCACTAATATGGCTGAAAATCCCTCCAAATCGTCTCCACACATGTACCATCAATAGTTGAATATAGAATTTGAATTTGTCAAATGGTTTGCGCGTGACAGACTCCCAAAGTGTGGTTATTTTCATAGAGAGGTGTGAAGTTCCCATGTTATCCAATGGAGACTGTATGGACACACTCACAGATTGTATGTGCAAACAGGAGCACATTCACTAAACTTGACTCAGTTGTTCCACTCCTGGGCCTAGGTCACATGACAATAGGAACGATGACATTGGCCCATTAGCGCCCCCTACAGGCTGAGTAAAGGTTTACATGGGGATAAAAGTATTTAGGTTTTCTGTTGTTTGATCTCATATTTGACCCACTGAACAAACACGAAAACTCACAAAACTTTGCAACAAGTTCTTTTCAGGCATAAAGTGTATTATTCTGGTGTTCTTTGGTATAACACTAATAAATTGAAATTGTAGGGGGCGCTATTGTACAACATTAAATAACACCATTTGCACATACAGAGTCCGATTTGCACAAAATTTGATTTGATAGTCCAACTCTAGGATTTGAGTAAACATGAACGTGTAAATCATGGAAATGGTTTTGGTGTTGAAAAAGTTAAAGAGTGAATTTGTATGGTTGGGTGTTGGGGGATGGTGGTTTGGGGTTTTGGGTTTTTAGATTTTTAATTTTTGTGGGGGGTAATGGGGGGGGGTGGGGGGGGGGGGGATTTGGGATTTTTGAGTGTTTTTTATTTGTGGGGTGTATGGGGGGGGAGGGTGGAGGATGGTGATTGGGGTGGGGGGGTGGGGGGGGGGAGAGTGGGGGGGTTTGGAGATTTTGTTGGTGGTGGATGGTAGGGGTGGTTTTGGGTTTTGAAAGGGGGGGAGATGGTGAAATGGGGTGAATGGGGGGTTAAAGATGTGTGAAAAGTGGCAATGCAGGGGGAAGAATGGGTAGGATTGGTGGTGTCTTAGGGAGTGGGGTTGGGTAGACGGGTGGTTTTAGCATTTGATTGGATGGGATGGTGTTGTAATGGTGTTTGTCTGGGTTGGGGTGGGGTTGGTAGGGGGGGGTAATAGGGGGGGGATTGGGGAGAAGGGGAGGATGGGGGATTGAGGGGGTTTGTGTGGTTAGGTAGATAAAATAGGTGTGTAGGAGTGATAAGGGGTGGGGGGGGGTGGGGGGTGGGGGGGGGGGAGGGTAGATATGTCTGGTAGGGGGGTTGGGATGTGGGGATATAGGGGAGATGATGTTAATGAGGGATAGGATATTAGGATAATAGAATTATTAAAAGATATATATGTTAGATGGGATTATATTATAGTAATGGGGTGTTAGAAGAAATATTGAGTTGATAGAGGGATGAGATGCTGAGAGGATAAGTTTTGTATTTTATAGATTATTATCATGTTATGCGAGGTTACAATAAAAAACAAAAGGCGGCTTGATTGCGGGTTCGGGCATGAAAATTTCAGAACCATATCGGCCGGGCCGGGCTGGGGGCGGCCACCCCCCCTGCGCGACCGACCCTCGGCCAGGGCCGGCGCGGGCCCAGATAATAGGCCCCGTGCAGGGCTCTATTCCCGGGCATTTTCAAATAACGAACTGATAAAAGGGCTTACAGGTAAACCAGAGGGTGCGAGTGACACGGAGTTTTCACCCACGCACTCCTCCGGATTCTGGGCTAGTCACACCCGGGGAGGGCTTTGCTCCCACTCAGCACCCAGGCTTAGCGCTTCATATCCGGGGGGGGGGGGGGGGGGGCGCCACCCAACACAGGGGGGATGATAACCGATTTTCACGGGCATCAACTGAGACGGGTACCAGGTGAGGTAGCAGGGAGGCTGGGGAGGGGGGGGGGGGTAAATGGTAGTTGATAAACGGTGAATGGGGTATGAAAGAGGAGTGGGTGGTATGTGGTAGAGGGGGGGGGTTTGTTGGTAATATGGTTTTTGGGTTGGGACGAGGGGTTTAATATTGGGGGGGGTTAAGGGAGAAGGAATGACAAAAATTTGAGGGAGATTTATGGGGGGGTGGTGTGGGGTGATGGGCGGGTGGGAGGGTGATGGATGATGGAGGATAGATATAATTTATAAAGTGATTTGGGAATTTAAGAATGGTGATATGAAAGATATAGGAGGTTGATATAGGGGGTGTTAAAGTGTTGTGAATAGGGTTTGATGTATTTAAATAATTCATTAAAGTGGGTGGAGAATAGATGAAGGTGGGATTGTGTTATGTTAATATTGAGCTGGGGGTGATGGGTGATAAAAAGAATAGTAATGTTTAGTATTGTGATTGTTTATTTGTGTTGTGTATTTGTAAGTAGGTTGGGAAATGTATTTTGTTAAATATTAATATAAGAAGTTTTTTTTTTGGATTGTTTGTTAGGTATGTAGAATTGTTTTAGTGTGTACAGATGTTTATTGAGGATTTGGTACATTAGGTAAGATAAATTATATTAGTTTAAAACTGGAAGGGGCACAACCATTCAATCTTTATCTTCTTAAACTAGTAATTGTGTGATAGCCCTGTGACTGAGATCTGGCAGAGAGCTGACTATACAGGAACTGTAGATGCAGACTTACAAATGAATTATATAATTAATTTAATCACTATTAAGTATATGTTTACATAATAATTAGAAAATTTATAAACAATTTATAACAACAGGTCTATAATATAGTAAACTATATACAATAGCACCCATAACAGCAGATAGCTCATTATTACACGCCACCATTTCCCCTCTCTCCCGGTCATATAAAGGAGAACTGCTGGAACATCTGCGTCTCCACCCCGTGTCCTCTGTTACAGGAGAATACTTGGCAGGGCAGTAGATGTTGTTCCTGACAGACGCAGGAATTGTGTATAATGTGAGAGCTGTCTGGCTCCCTGCTTCAGAGCTGCAGGTTGGCAGAAATCCGCACTTTTCTCCCAGTGGCAGGAGACGTCATCACTCTATCCTTTTCTTCTCCTGGCCGCTCATTCACATCTCTGCCTTGCGTGCCTCCAGCTCTCTCTGAGTAGAACTCCGTGTCCAAAAAGTCTGGAATGGCATCCTGGAGTTGGTCCAAACCCACTGTGCGATAGGTGTATATATCTCCTCCTCAAACAACACAACGGAGGTGGAGGAAAGAGAAGATATAACAACTATCGCACAGAGGGTTTGACCAACTCCAGATGCCATTCCGAGACTTTATGGACACTTGCGTTTCTACAAAGAGCTGATGCCACGCAGCAGTGAGTGAAATACGGCAGGAGAAGAAAAGGAAGAGAGATGAGTTCTCCTGCCACTGGAGAAAGTGCGGGTTCTGCAAACGCAGCTGAAAGCAGGACCAGACAGTCCTCACATTCAAACACAATTCCCTGGTCTGTCAGGAAAATACATCTACTGCCCCTGCGCAAAAGTAATCTCCTGTACAAGGACCAGGGATGGAGACGCAGTGTTCCAGCAGTCTCCTGGTTATGACCAGGAGAGGGAAAGGGTGGCGTTAAATAAATGAGCTATCTGCTGTCTATTGGTGCGATTTTATATATTACTAGATTATACCGTCTGTTCGATAAATGTTTATATTATAATTCGAATTATATGTAAACAGTACTTAATAATGATTAAATCTAAGTATATAATTTCATTTGTAAAGTCTGCATCTACAGTTATGGATAGTCAGCTCTCAGCCGTCACAGACACAGGGCTCACACACAAATACTAGTTTAAGAAGATAACGATAGCATGTTGTTGTTTTTCTTCTAAGTGTATTTCTTAAATTTGTAAATATCTCTGTTTTCATCGTTCACAATAAATATATTATAATGTCATACATTATTGAAGACTTTCTTTTTAATTGATCATCTTTCAGGGCAAACAGTATAGTTGACAAAACAATCTGTATAGAAAATAGAGTTTCAGTCAGTGTCAGTGGGATCAAGCAGCGATTGTTGAATTCCACGGAGGGGGGGGGGGGGGGGGGGGGGGGGGTCACATACTCCGGTGCGCTGGATGGTATCACCTCCTCTGGGGGATAATACAAGGTTGGTTGTGGGTGTGGTTGTGTGAGGTGCTGATTACAGTGGGATTGCAATGGCAATGGTTACTTTGGTCGGGCCGAGTGGGATGCAGGGAGCACATTAGTTGGGGGCGGGCAGATGGTACTATATGGTGTGGTTATTTGGGGAATTTAATAGGATACAGGTAGAGGTGGTGAGGTGTGGGGGGGGGGGGGGGGGGGGGGGGGGTACCAGGTGCGTTTGGGAATAAGAGAACACGGTGGGGGGGGGGGGGGGGGGAGTGATGAGTTGGAATATACGGAAAGAAGATGTGATTGGGTGAGTATAGGTGGGGGGTGTGCTGTGGGGGGCAGCCGCAAGGTCCCCCGGTGGTTTCTAAAGGGGCTTAACTTTCATGGTACTGTATCACCACCGCGTACAAATTACACCGCGGGTGCCAACAGGACCTGAGTCCCTGGGTCCCACCAAAGTGTATCTACCCTTCCCTGCTCAGGCTTTGTGGAGCACCGGAAAGCCGGGCTTAATGTAAACGGATTGTGCGCTCTGGATGGGTCATGTGTGGGGAGCAATGGAAATAAACGTGGTGTTTGAAATGTAAAAGGGTGTGGGAGGGGGGGTTTTATAGGGGGGGGGGGTAGGAGGGATAAAGGGAGGGGGGGTATGGGGAAATGGGTGGTGTGTGGAAAGATAGAAGGGTGTGGGAAAAGTGGATTTTATGGGGAGGAGAGGTGGGGGGGGGGAGAAAAGTTTGTTTTTGTTGGGGTGTTGTGTGGGTGGGGGGGTGGTATTGTGTTGTTTTGTTGTTTGGGGGGGGGGGGGGGGGTAGGGTTTTTGGGGGTCTGGGTTTGGTATGTGGTGGTTTTGGGGGGGGGGGGGGGGGTTGTTTGGGTGGGGGGGGGTTGGGGGGGTTGTTGTGGGGTTGGTGGGTGGGTGGGGGGTGGGGGGGGGGGGTGGGGGGTGGGGGTGGGTGGGGGTTTGGTGGGGTTTTTGGGGGGGTGGGGTGGTGTGGGGGGGGTGGTGTGTTGGGGGGGGGTTGGGGGTTGTGGGGGGTGTGGTGGGGGTGGTGTGTGGGGTGGGGGGGGGGGGTGTGGGGGGGGGGGGTTGGGGGGGGGGGTTGGGGTTTGGGGGTGGTGTGGGTTTGGTTTTTGTGTGGGTTGTTTTTTTGGATATAGTGGGGGGGGGGGGGGGGTTGGGGGGGGGGGGGGGGGGGGGGGGGGGGGGGGGTGGGGGGGGGGGGGGGGGGGGGGGGGGGGGGGGGTGGGGGGGGGGGGTGTGGGGGGGGGGGGGGGGGGGGGGGGGGGGGGGGGGGGGGGGGGGG